ACCCCCGCCAAAGAATTTCCACTGCACCTTGATGGACTTGCTGTTCCCAGTCTCCACCCCTCCCACCTTCCTTCCCTATTATAATTGTTAGGTCAGTTAATTGGCTGATTAAGGAAACCCCGGCATTTTTATTAACTGGCAATTAGAATCAGACCCTGAGGCATACATAGAAGATCCTTTCTGACTGGGGGTGTCACTTGGGTTACAAAGATTAATAAAGTCAAATGTGCTTTAAGGTCTGGTTTGGTTAATTTAATTTTCTGTATGGATATTTTAGCATCATTGTTGCTCTAATATCATCTCAGTTGCTTTAAAAATAAACTGAATTCATTCCAAAACAGCAATCTCTTATCTTTAGAAACGAGGAAAGATAAAAAAGTGTATCTGGTAATACTGTGGGAATATCAAATAATCACAAGCTATAGAGGCATTTTCACTTACTAAGCTGATGGTTCTTATACTTTAGTCACAACACCCTTATTTCCTTTCTTCCAGGACCATCCAATAGAAGACCCAAGTTTCTCATTCTAAAAGCTCACATGAATATATGTGGCATGCCCTAATCCCTTTAGCCTACTTAAATCCTCTCACAGTCTGTTTTTGACAAGTTGGCACTTATGAAGACAAGTTGGCACTTATGAAGATCCGTTACACAAGGTGGCCAGTTATGGAGAGAGCAAATGTTCCCTTACAGGCCAAACAGTTGGTGTTATTATAAGAAAATGGTATGTCATATTAAACTTATGACTCACTGAGGGAAAACTGAGTATATCAGTAATAACATGGATAAGCAGCTTTAGAGTAGACTATCCTGCAGAACAGAAACTGTGAATGTCGGGTTGGGAGAGACGAATTCCAGTGAAATTCTAAAGACAACACAGAACAGAGGCTAAACCCCAGGGCTTTGGATCAGGTAATGCAAAAAGTCAAAATCTTGGCTCTGTCACATATTTAAAGGTATGACTTTGGGTTGGTTACTCAAACTATGTGAGGCATCATTTTTTTACGCATGTAAAATGGAGATAACAAACTTCATCTCATAGGCTAAAAGGAAGATTAGGAAACAATCATCAAATCATTTTTCTCAGTCTTGGCACTCAGTAAACTAACAACTATTATTACCATGAGCATCTTCCCTCATTCAATTTACTGGATGGTTGAGGAAACCAATAGGGCATGTTTCGTATTGTAAATAGCCTCGGAATTTAGAAAAGCACACAGGACAAAGATCAGAAAGCACACAATTTCAGCTTAGAAAAGTAAGAATGAACTTTATCACAGTAAACCCAGCGTTAGGGAAACATCATTTTAGAGATCTAGGTCTAAGTCAAGTTATCAGTTCTGGGAATGGATTTAGGATTAGCCCAAGTAATTTGGTCAACCAGATAGTCACAAAACCTGCTACGGTTTTGAAGCAAAGTACATGGAGAATTACAAGGCAACTCACTGTCTCCCGAGCATAGAGATGAAAAGAACGGACTACGGAGCCCAACCGCTCGCTCGGATTTTAATCTCTGCTGCTACTACTTCTTTGACCTTAAGCAGTGTAGTAAGCCACTTGTATTAGTTACTTTCGTTGATGTAAACAAACACTTGATAGCAAGCACCTTACAGGAGGAATGGTTTATTTGGCTCAGGGTTTGAGGATATATTCTATTATGGCAGGAAGGGCAAGGCAGCAGGTGGCTGCAGGAGTGTGAGACTACCTGCTCACATTTTGGCAGTTCAAGAAGCAGATAAAGGTGAGTGTTCCTAGACACTCAACTGTATTTCTCATTTTTCCATTCTTATTCAGGCCAGGACTCCACCCCAAGAGACGTTGCTTCCCACATTCAGGTCAGAACTTCCCCTCTCAGTTAACTCTTTCTGAGATAAAGCTCTCACAGACACACCCACCATACTTAAGAGCATTCAATTTGTTCTTATATTACTAACACCCTTGCTTCTAAATAACTTGGTGAACTTTATAGAAGCTATGCAAGATGGCAGTGCAGCCTGGAAGACAGAAATAGAAAACAGTAAGGAAATGAACAGTGGAAAAACTAGAACTATATTGCAGTTTTTAACGTTTCCTGGTTCACTATGCCACAGACACATGGTGTCAGATGTATCTATCCCCCTTTATTAACTAACCCTTTAACCCGGGAGGAAAGGAGTCAAGAAGCAGTCTAGCACTATACAAAATTAAAAAGCTGTAAAGTCCGTCTTCAAACCTTAATTGTTTAGGAGCTTCCCTTCAACTCAGAAACTGCTCTATCTTTCCCTCCGTCACACAAAATGTAAACTCCCTCCTTTAAAGTAACCCAGATGGAAACACATAACGTCAGAGTTAGAAGGTCCATCTCATTTTTATGCCCTGTTACTATTGTGAGGTCACTGGTACCCACAGAAAAAGAAGTGATTTTAGTAAAATGATCAAATTCCTATTTTTTCCAATAATAGATTTAACATCAAGTTGCATTTAGTAAAGAACAGTGGACTAGTCTCATTCCAACATTTACCATTTGGATTCTTTGAAGCATGCCTTCCAAGAGTTCAAGGCAAATGCCACTTCATCAGTTCCAGTGTGTCATTTACCTGAGTAGTTCTAATGCAAATTAAG